CTCGTAAAAAAAAAAAAAAAAAAAAAAAAAGAGAAGTATAATACTTTTATTTATGTGGCCACAAATCACATTTTTGTTTTTGGCGATGATTAACAAAGCTTCTTATTCATCCAAACTGCTTTCTCACAGGTGGTGTTCTTCTACATTTGTGTTCTAGTGGATTTCATTGACCCTGATCATTTATTTCTCCTGCAGGTTCTCCTAGTGGTCTGTGCCATAGGACGATATACATAGGCCCGGAGATTGCAGTGATCTCTGGCTTAGAACCTGTCCCCAGCTTCCTAGATAAGCTGGAGGGCACCCAAGGGCTGGGGCAGACGAGTGGCCCAGTGTGCACAGTCCCTGTCCCTGAGAGGAAGGGGCCAGCTGGACAGCAGGGGCCCGCGAAGAGGCCTTACGGAGGGGCTGCTGAGGGGCCTGGCCTGCTTTGGGAGGTGGGGCCCCCACACTGGAGACCCCAAGGCGTGGTGAACCTTTGAGCCTGGTTCCTTGCAGGAATGTTGGTGGCACCGGTCCCCACACTGCTGCACAGAGGTCTGCTCCAACCTGAGGGCAACAGCAGGAAGTGCTCTCTTGGCAGAATTCTGAGTCACTCTGGGCTTAGAGCAGCCTGGGACAGTGCTCAGGCTTGAGGTGTTGCGGTAGGCAGAGGCACACACACTCCTGCTACCCCCAGGTTCACGGCAGGGGACAAGTGAGCTATCCCAGCTCCCTGGTGGCGTGGCCTCACCACCCACTGGCCTCTGCTGGACCTCAGGAGGATGCTGTAGGGACTGGGGAGCAGCACAGGACGACACCAGCCTACTCCCAATCCTAGGCAAGGGAGCCTCCCTCCCAGCAGGAGGCAAAGACCAGAAAGCAGGGCAGCGAGGTTGGGAGCCTTGCTCACAGAGGGAGACCTGCTGCACGTGGCCCCTTGGCCTCCGGCTCCCCACTGAACTCCCCTGGTTCCTCTAGAATGGGCTTCAGCTTTGCCATTCCCTGAATTGGGAGCCTGAGTCTCAGAGAGGAGACTTCATCCACTCACACTGCAAGGAGATGGCAGATCCAGGAACCAAACTCCTGCCTGCCCGGTGGGAATTTCATGGTCTGTGTACCCAGGACACAAGGTACTGGCTTGCAGCCCAGGAGCTGGACCATGCAGTGAGGGTCTAGAGGACCTAGGCTGCGCTGCTTTTCTTCCATGCAATGTGGGGTGAGCATGGGGCAGGGTGGACAAGCTGGAACTTTGTGTTTCTGTGCACCACGTCTCCTTCCAGCACCAGGGTGCTGGGGTGCTGTGTATTCAGACAGCGTCTTAGCTGACTGGTTCACAGATGGGTGTCTAGAGGGCAGGAGGGAGGTGAGTGGGTACAAGGGAGGGTGGGTGGATGGGTGATGGTGTCTAGAGATGGCCTCGCAGTTCCCGTGCTCACCAACTCAAGGTGAAGCTGGAGAGCTCAGTGGTTAACGCTGTTTGCTTCTCGCCTGCCTGTGATCAGCTCCTGTCCACCCTTCTCTCCCGGGCTGTCATGTGTCACTAGGCTGCCCGGGTCGTCTCTTCTCTGAGCTGAGTTCTTAGCCGTAGAAAAGTGTTTATAATGTAAACACTAAGACAAATCGTATATTGACATAATGAAATATCTACTTAATGCAACAACTATACCACCACTAAAAATAGAAAGTAATTTAACAGCAGTAACACAGTTAACTACCTAAAGATTAATAAAGCTTAATGAGTATACTACTAAAGATAGAAAATATGGGGAATGGGGGAATGAAAGAAGAAAAATTTGAGAAATTAAGCAATGGAAGATGAAAAAGAAGAGAGAAAAGTGAGACAAAGGATCCTATTAAATAAAAATGGGATCCTATTAAGGAGTTAAAAAATAGCATTAGATAAAAATGATAGGAAAGAACAAATGAGAAAAAAGAAAAATAAGAATTAAAAAAGGAAAGCGTGAAAGGAAAAAAGCCAGTGAAGAAGAAAAGAGAGAAAAATTCCTCTGTGTTTTTGAATGAGTGGTTTGTTCCAGGAGCCAGAGTCTTGGAATCCAGCAAGTCATGGTTTCTCCACCTAGCTTTACTGCCTGTGTCTTTGTGAGGTGTCTCCTTGCTCCAGGGGACCCTCTGTGCGCTCATTCCAGGCTGTGGCAACTGTCTGAGCCAGGGTACGTCCTTGTTCGTGTTAGTAGATGGGGAAGTCGGAAACCACTAATCTGTGCTGAATGTCCCAGCCGGCAGGGGTTCAGGCAGACCCACGGACCCAGCTGCCTCTGAACATGCCAGGTCTGGTTTCGCATCATAAAGGGTGGGACCCTTCCCAGGCTGAACTTAAACTTCTCAGGAGGTCTGTGGCCAGCCCACACCCTCTCCACAACCGTCCACGGCTGTCACTCACCTAGTCATTGTGGGAGGGTGACACTGAGAGCCCTGAAGTGAAGTTGTTTTCGAGTCATTCTGTAGCTTAATCTTAAACAATTAACCCCTTCCCAAAATGGCTCCTGGCTAAATGCTTTCTGGCAATATGGTGAGCAGTGTACCGGATGTATTCTCCAACTCCAGCCTGCTGTGCAGAAGAATCATGGTCAGAGTAAAATTCCAGTGTTTCTCCCTGGAACTACTGACCCTTGGGGCTTGCTTTGCCTGAGCAGAGGCAGGTGCCCCTCCCTGGGAGCCAGGGCAAGCTTCTGGTCGGCTGCATTCTTTCCTCTGCACAGTGCTCCGTTTCTCCACCAGCTTCCCTGTAGTTCATAGCTTTCCTGTCAGCTCCCTATTCCTAGAGATCTTTTTTTTTCTCTCTGTCTTTGCCAAGTCATTATTTTCTAGTTGTCTAGATTCTGGGTCCTGAAGATGCTGTATTTTGCTGCTGATCACTAGTCTGTCATTTCAAGCCCAGGGAATGTGCTCTTGAAGGGAATAAAGAGATCTCTTTCTTTCTGCCCCTCTTCCCCCTCCTTAGCGGCTGCCATGAGGCATACACCTTGCTCCACCAAACTCCCTGCCATGATGCTCTGCCTTACCACAGGCCCAAGAGCCATGGACCAGTAGTCCATGGACTGAAATAATGAGCCAAAATAGATGATCATTTAAATGGTTTATCTCAGATGTTTTTCTGTATCAGGAATCTCACTAGCGCAGGCTTATAAGTCATGTGGCCCCAGGCAAGCCAGGCCCAGGAAGTCTTCTGCCCTCTACCTCTTGGGGTGGAGTCTGAGGTCCCTGGCACAGGTGTCTGCTGGCCTGGCTGTTTCCCACTCTGGAGCTAGCCTTGTGGGCAGCAACCTAAGGGCTGACCTGCGCTGTCTTCCTGCAGGTTGTCATTCCCTTCTTCAGCCTGCTCATCAAAGACATCTACTTCCTGAATGAGGGCTGTGCCAGCCGCCTTCCCAATGGACACATCAACTTTGAGGTAGGGACTGGGCCTTGAGGGGGACTGCCGCCAATGTAGACAGGCCAGTAGAGGTTCCCAAGCAGGCCTGCCAACTCCTGGACAGACCGATGGGGCACCGAGAGGCAGAGTGCAGCTTTCAGGGAGAGATTATCATGGTGTCCCCACCTTAGATCTGCCGAAGCGGGAGACGGAGGCTCACACGTGTGTCGGATGTCCACGCTGGGCCCTGCGCAAAGCAAAATTATTTCTGGCCCTTGAGAAGTGCTCGGCTGGTGAGAAGGACAGCCCTGTAGATCCACAGTGCCAGCGGCAAGGTGCAGCGATGCACCAGCTCATGGTGTGTGGGTGTTGGGGCAGGACCCTAAGGAGGGGCCTGAGCTTGTCTGGATTTCTGTATGTGGGGGCAGAGTGGGCAGAAGGAAAGACTTCTGATTTTTTTTTCAGCTTTAATTGAGTTTATTGGTACATTCTAGGTATACAGTACAGTTACATTCATTGTTGGGATCTTGTACCTCTACATGACAGGTCTTGGTTCTCATTTTTTCCCCTTACCCCTGCCCTCCCTTCACCCCTTCCTCCCCTCCCAATCTACAAACACTTTATTTTCATCTTTTCATTCTCTCACATTTTTTTTCTTTTCCCTTTTTACTCTTCCCCTACCCATCCCACCTTCCCTACACCTTTAGCTCCTTTCTTCCCGTTTCTAAATGTCAGTAATCTTATTAGGATCTTCTGTATTATTGCAGATTATTCACACCAGGGAAACTGTTTTCACAGACACTGCGGTCAGCCGCGAGTGCCTTCTGGGACCTCTTAGGCAGGGGGAGCCCACCTACCAGGGTTCCACAGAGCAGCAGCCTGTACACTGCTCACCGGGACCTCAGAGCAAGCACTTTGCGTCCCGACTTCACTGTGGGCCACCACACGCTTGTACGTCAGAGTGGCCAGCGGGCAGTGGCAGGGGTTGGTTCAGAGCCAGGCAGAAGCTGCACACCGTGCAGCAGGGGCGCTCTGCAGTCTGCAGGGGGAAAGGGCTCTTCTTCCACTGGAGAGCTGGCCGTAGCCCCAGGAGACCTCTGCCTTCAGGGCTGAGAGTCCTCGGTCAGTCGCTTGCCCTGTCCAAGCCTCAGGCTCTCCCTTGGTAAACCACAACTCTGGCCACGCTGCAGCTTGAGGAGCACTAGGAATAGCGTGGCCCACCATGGCCTGCGCAGCCCATGCTCCGTGGCTCATGCCTGGACCCTGTGGGCTGTCGCATGCAGCCCAGAGGCAAATGAGCCTCCAGGAGCCACAGAGCGACTCGTGTCCGGCCAGCAGGCGTCCCAGGACACTGTTTCCCTGGGGTAAAACTGCAGGCTGGGGCTGGGGTGGCCTCTTGCTCTGTGGGTGACCCTGACACAGCAGATATGGAAGCCCCTGTCTTGGCGCTTCTGGACTTGTCCTCAGAACCCAGGCCGAGGGTAAAATAAAGACTGCAGGATCCTCGCCTGGCCTCTGATTCAGAGCGTCAGAGAGTTTTCACAGACACTGCGGTCAGCCGCGAGTGCCTTCTGGGACCTCTTAGGCAGGGGGAGCCCACCTACCAGGGTTCCACAGAGCAGCAGCCTGTACACTGCTCACCGGGACCTCAGAGCAAGCACTTTGCGTCCCGACTTCACTGTGGGCCACCACACGCTTGTACGTCAGAGTGGCCAGCGGGCAGTGGCAGGGGTTGGTTCAGAGCCAGGCAGAAGCTGCACACCGTGCAGCAGGGGCGCTCTGCAGTCTGCAGGGGGAAAGGGCTCTTCTTCCACTGGAGAGCTGGCCGTAGCCCCAGGAGACCTCTGCCTTCAGGGCTGAGAGTCCTCGGTCAGTCGCTTGCCCTGTCCAAGCCTCAGGCTCTCCCTTGGTAAACCACAACTCTGGCCACGCTGCAGCTTGAGGAGCACTAGGAATAGCGTGGCCCACCATGGCCTGCGCAGCCCATGCTCCGTGGCTCATGCCTGGACCCTGTGGGCTGTCGCATGCAGCCCAGAGGCAAATGAGCCTCCAGGAGCCACAGAGCGACTCGTGTCCGGCCAGCAGGCGTCCCAGGACACTGTTTCCCTGGGGTAAAACTGCAGGCTGGGGCTGGGGTGGCCTCTTGCTCTGTGGGTGACCCTGACACAGCAGATATGGAAGCCCCTGTCTTGGCGCTTCTGGACTTGTCCTCAGAACCCAGGCCGAGGGTAAAATAAAGACTGCAGGATCCTCGCCTGGCCTCTGATTCAGAGCGTCAGAGACCAGATCGGCTGCCAGGGCAGGTCGAGGGTTCAGCGAGCGGGGCTCCCGCCCAGGCCTGGCACAGTGCTGCTTGGCCTTTCAACTTCGTTCTAAACTCGGTGCATGCTCTATAATTACGCACACGCATGGCTCACCCTCCATACCCAGGGCTTCCACTTCCATGGATTCAACCAGGCTTGGGTCAAAATGTATTCTTTAAATTGCCTCTGACCTGACCTCCCTGCTTCTTATTATCTATCTTCTATTTTTCTCAAATGGGAAGGGGAGCCATAGATGGAGGGAGGGAAGAGGTAGGAGAGAGGCAATGAAAGAAAGAATGGAAAGGAAAATATGGAGATGAAGACAGAGCTTCTGCAAATGGGAAAGGGACCAAGAGACGAAGGGAGCAGGGAGGAGAGGGAGCGTGAAGAAAGGACCGGGTACGCTGTGCACACGTGCCAGCCCCTCTCATGAATGCCGTCATGCTGTGCTGCAAGCATGTGCTGATCAAAAATAAACCCAAAACCACATCTGACCATGCCAGGTGGCAAGTGCCTCCCAGCTACTTGGAGGCTGAGGCAGGAGGACCGCAAGTCCAAGGTCAGCCTGGATAACTTAGCAAGTGCCTAAAAAAAATGTAAAAAATGAAATAGCTGAGGATGTAAATCAGTGGTAGAACACCCCCTGGGTTTGATTCCCAGTACCACCAAAAAAAAAAAAGTAATAAAAACAAAATGAAAAAATGTTTAAATTCCATCTGTACTGAACATTTACAGGCTTTTTTCTTGTCTCTGTTCTCTAAACAATCCAAGTTAGAGCTACCTGCATAGCGTGTACACTGCATTGGGCATTAGATGTTGTGTAGAGATGACTTAGTGTCCGGCAGGAGGGTTATGGGCTCCGTGCAAACCCCTGTACCATTTTATATAAGGGGCTTGTGCATCTGGATTTCTGTATGGGGGGGGCTGGAATCAATCTGGGGTTCACTTAAATGTATCTATCTCAACTCAGATCATGCTCCCCCTTGCTAGTGGCAAGCAAGGCTGGGACCAGGCTGCTTTCTCCCTGCTGCCTGGGTGAAGCCCCGTTGAGCCGAGTTCCCCAGGGTGCAGGACCACGGGCAGACTCCAAGGGTGAGGAGCGGGCTCTGCCGGCCTGCGCTCCCCGAGCCCCCGTTGTGTCCCCGCGGCAGAAGTTCCTGGAGCTGGCCAAGCGAGTCGGGGAGTTCGTCAGGTGGAAACAGGTGGCCTGTCCCTTCGAGCAGAACCCCAGCATCACCAGCTACCTGCACACGGCGCCTGTCTTCAGCGAGGACGGTAGGTGGTGCAGGCTGTGGCTGGCGGGAGGCCCCACAGTCGGCACACGGTCGCCCTGCCAGCCTTCGGGACCGCTGTTTGGGAGCCGGGCGTCAGGGAAGGAGCGGCTGGCCAGCGCGGCCGTGTGCGAGGCTTCTCCATCTGCTGTGGATGTCGGTCCCCCAGCACATAGGCGCCCCATCTGCTGATTTATCAGACACAAACCTGCTTGCACATTCGCTAGCGGGCAGACCCCGGAGCGCCCCTTTGGGAAAGAGAACATCTGGAGGTGAGCGCGGTCCTGTGCTTGACTGTGTTTTCCCAGAGAGGGGACCCCCAGCTCTCAGAGCACAAAGCATGTCACGGAGGGAGCCCCTGCTGCACCCCCAAAAATAGGGGAAAGGATTTCTTCATGACTTTGCCTTTGGATACTTTGCAATTTTGCTTTTCATGTTTGGAGCCAGGAACTTTCTGGGGAGGGCTTAACCCCTATCTGTACCACGGCCCCAGAGAGCAGCTGCTGATAAATCGCCCAGGCTACCTGCCCTCCACTGCATGCACACAGCAGCCCCTCCTGAGCCCTGTGCGCGTGCGCGCGCGTGCACACACACACACACACACACACACACACACACACACACAGCTGGGCACCTCTTCATCTAACCCCTGGCCGTGATGTCTACAGTTTAAACGTGCAAAGTTTGGCGCAGATTCCTTTTCCCTTCTTCACAATTTCAGATAGAAGATTTTTCCCTACCATCAATCTCAGCGTATGGCTTTTTCTTCCCTTTCAATATCATGGTAAGAACTCTCCCCTTGACACTTGAAAGGGGCACTTGCCACTTCTCTTTGGCATATGAGTATCACCACATCCCCAATCCTGCGATGCAGGGTCACTGCAGCATAAGATAGGGGCTCCTCATTAACACAGCAGCACAAGCCCTGTGGTTGTGTGACAGCAGATCTGACAACCAGGAGGGCGCCGAGTGACGCCAGGCTGCAGGGTCAAGACGCTGGACAAAGGGACATTCACGTCCCGGGGGTGGAGTGGGCGCCACGAGACTTCACCGTGCTATTGGCAGTGGCATGCATCTAAAAATCATGAATTGCTTATTTCTGGAATTTCCCACTTAATATTTTCAGACTATGGTTGATCAGTGGTAACTGAAACTGTAAAAAGCAAAACCAAAGATAAAAGGGGACAACTGTATTTGTTTCCTATTGGCGCTAACACAAATCACAAATTTGGTAGTGCCAAATAACACACATTTATCCTGGTGTAAAAGACTAAATGTTTCCCTACTGGGATGGATAGCAAGACCAGAATGTCTCTTTCCCACCCTTAGTTTCCATAGTGATAAAGCAACTAGTTAGTACAATAAGGCAAGAAAAGGGAAAAAGCAGAGATCAGAAAAGAAGTAACTTAATACTGTCACTGTTTGCATGTGGCGAGGTAAAAATATTCCAAAGAATCTACAAAAAACTTCTAGAAATAAGATCTGAGTTTAGCAAGGTCATAGAATAAAAGATAAGCATACAGCAATTGATTATATTTCTGTGTTCTAGATATAAATACATGGATACCAAAATTTAAAAAAATGATGCCATTTAGCCAGGTGTAGTGGTTTGTGCCTGTAATACCAGCACTCTGGAAGGCTAAGGCAGGAGGATCTCAAGTTGGAGCCCTCCCAGGCAACTTTGTGATTTAGCAAGACCCTATTTTAAAACTTTAAAAAACAAAGAAACTGGAGACATTGCTCAGTGCAGAGGCTCTGAGTTCAATCCCCAATGCTGCCCCCACAAAAAGGGTGTATGTGCGTGTGTGGGTGTATGTGAGTGTGGGTGTGTGTGTGAGTGTGGGTGTGTGTGTGGGTGGGTGTGAGTGTGGGTGTGGGTGAGTGTGGGTGTGTGCAAGTGTGGGTGTGTGAGTGTGGGTGTGTGATGCCACTTCCAGTCACTCAAAAAATGAAATCTTAGGTGCAAGTCTAACAACAGATGAACAAGATCTGCATATTAAAAAATATACAATGCTAAAATCAAAGGTCTGACTAAATAAAGAGAGATGACATCCATGAAGCAGAAGACACACATAGCAAAGATGTCAACTCTCCTTCCCAAATTCTACTGTTTTAATGGACTTTCAATCAAGAGCCCAGGTGGTGGGCCAGGGAGTTAGCTCAGGGGGGCTGTGCCGCCTCGCAAGTGGACCCAGAAACAGACCACACAGGTGCGCCCAACGCTTTTAACAAAATGCAGAGCCAGTTAATTTGAGGAAGCCTTTCCATAAGTGGTGCTGGAATATTTTTGACATCCACAAACTAAAGAAAAATGAACCCCAATGTTAGTTTGACACCTTTCACAAAAATGTGGACTTGAAAGGGTTCATGGACTTAAGTGTCCAGTCCTGAAACTGGTGGCTGAGGTGTGTTGGGGAACCGGGTTCAGGAGAAAACCTTCACGATAGGGAGGCTCCGACTCCCGCCACCCAGACTTTAGCGATGGGAGGGCGGCGGCCAAGGGAAGCTGTGCGGCACGTTGAGGGTTCGGCTCTTTCCTTGGGCTGGTGACCTGCAGTCCGCCGCTCTGTCCTGGTGCCAGGCGCAGTGCCACCCCCAGTGCTATGGTCAGGTGCTGGCTTCGGCTGTGCTGCCTCGCTCAGGGTAGGTGTGTTGGACACCTTTGATTCACAGCGATTTTACCTCGTGGAGGGTCTATCGAGATGTGTTCCATCATAAACCGACAAGCATGGGTATAGAGCTAGACAAAGGTCTTCCTGTTAAAATAGGTAACTATTATGCCACCTAGCGATTGCACTCTTGGGCTTTTATTTATTCTAGAAAAATGAATAGTCATGCTCACAAAACAGAAAAATATCATCGTTGTTTACAGACACTTTACTCATCATCTAGAAACTGAAAACAATGCAGATGTCCTTCAGGGGTGGATGGTGAAACAGCCTGTGACATACCCATGGCACGTACTGTACCGCACAGATGGAAGCCAGCTACTGGCACGTTCCCCACCATGGAGCAATCTCCAGGGTATTTCGCTAAGTGAAGAAAACAAGTGACATACTATAGGAATCCATTTATAAACACTCCTAAAACGATCAAAGAAGCCAGATGTGGTGGCACACACTTGTAATCCCAGCAGTCTGGGAGGCTGAGGCAGGAGGATCACGAGTTGGCACCCAGGTTGGGTTATTTAGCAATTTAGTGAGACCCTTTCTCAATGCATAGATGGACAGACAGAGATATGATAGATGATTGATAGATAAATGATAGGTAGGTGAGTGATAGTAGATAAATAGATGCACACATACATACATATGACTGGCGATGTAGTTCAGTACAAAAACCCCAAGTTCCATTCCCTACCACAACACGCACACAAGATCAACTATGGAAATGGAGAACAGACCGGTTAAGCTGGCAAGGGAGGGCTGTGGCTGTAAAGGGCACACAAGGGGTGCTTTGTTGGGCGCTGGGCCTCACTTTCGCCATCCTGTGGCTGACTAGCAGCTGTGCTGGAGCCGCTGTCCAGCACTGTGAAGAGGAGGATCTAACCACGTATCACCAGCCCAGAGGAAGATCCAAATTCCAAGTCCAAAGTACAGTTTCTACTGCGTGCGCCGCTCTTGGATAGCACCGTAAAGCAGGAAATTCTTCAGTCTGGGCATTATAAGTGAAAACCAGTCTGACTACACTAGTCTGTATTTTGCAAGTGGTTACCGTTAGAGGGAGCAGGGTAAAATGTCCCAGGCTCCCCCTGTATCATTTCTCACAGCTATCTGTGAATCTATAGTCATTTAATTTAGAAACAGAAAGCAGGCCATAGGCCAGGGTTTGGCTCAGTGGTTCTGCTGCCTGCCTCCCAAGCCCAAGGTCCTGAGTTTGATCCCCAGTACCAATAAATAAAATAAAATAAAGCATATCAGGCTCAGGTGTAGAACAGGTTACCACCATCAACCACACGGTATAATTTCTCTTCCTTTTTTTTTTTTCTCTAGGTCTTTATTTGGCTTCTTATGAGAGTGAGAGTCCAGAGAACCAAACAGAGAAAGAGAGGTGGAAATCTCTGAGGTGCGTCTTTGTCAAGACAGAGTGGGAAACAGGGTTGGAAGATGGGTGGGGTTGCTTGGGGCCAGCACAGGGCCAGAGAGCTTCCCGGATATTGATCTGTCGTCAGCTTCCTGGGGGCTGGGCCAGTCCAGAGCAAGATCAGGTCAAGGTCATTGGGGTTGGGGCCAAATTCAAGGGTGAGGGTAGGGAGGGGCGGAGCCCTTGCACCCTGGAGGCTGGAGGTTGCCTCTGTGGCCAGTCCAGACCTGAGTCCTAGGACCAGCAACTCCCAGCCCATACTTTTATGCTAGAAAGTAAGACACACCCACCGTCTCTTGCCTCTTTGCCCTGTGAACACAGCCGAGTGGAGGGCTCAGATGGTTCACAGCATGGGCTCTGCGGTCTGAGCCGAAAGGCTTTCCCAAACACCCATGTGCCCACATCGGCCCGTGGGCTGAGGAGGTGGTCGTGCTGGGGAGCAGCCTGCCTGCAGCCTGGGGCTCTCACCACCGTCCACGTGTTTGGATCTGCAGATCTTCTACTCTGGGGAAGACATGAGAAGCTCTGAGCTGAAGGAGGAGAAAATAGAGCCAGCGGAGGCCCTCACAGCCCCGCCTCAGAGGTGCCCAGGGTGGAGATTTGCAAATCGACCCCATGGCCGATGCCCACCACCATGGCCCAGGGGCACAGGAAGCCTTTTGTGGGACCTCAGCCCCTGCAGACTTGGCAGAGCCTCCAGACATGTGGGCACATGCCTTGGGGACACCCCGCCCTCAGGACCCTGGGGCCACACTGCTGGTCAGTCTGTGTCCCTCGTGTGCAGTGCAGCCTCTCGACAGGCGCCACCCACCCTCCGTCCGGAGTGGCTCGGGATTGTGCCCTGCAGCAGGCGGCACGCCCATCTCCCGATGGACCCCACCTGGCCCCGGGCACTGCCCGCTCGGGATCCCGCTGGTTTGAGCAGAGGTCCCAGGGAAGCAGATCCGTGGGAGCAGCCGGCTTCACGGAGTCCACGGTGTGTGTGTTGTGGTCTTGCCACCCGGGTCCCTGGAACCCTTAGCACTGGTACCAACAGGCCTTCACACGCCCTGCACTCCCTGTCCACACCGGGTCTCTGATCTTCAGCCAGGTGCGGGACGCTTTCTGAACTTAGCCCTGGAAATGCTGTAGCCAGGGTTTAGGAACAGGATGGGAGGTGCCATTTCCAACCCAGGCTGCAGAAGCCCTGGGAACAAGCTGGGCACGTGGGGACCCTTCAGGGACTGGGGATCAGCGTGACAAACCTGTTTGGAGTGGGCACGATAAAGCCCGTGAGGCCCTGCAAGGCTCCCCCACTGCTCTCGCCTCACTCACAGAGCACCTGACGGTGCTGCTCTCTACGGGAAGCTGTGCCTCTCCTGGTCAGGGGCTGCTAGTGGGGAAGATGGGGAGCACTGCCCCCCCTGGCTGCCTCCTGCCCATGTCAGGCCCCCAAAGGGCACACTCAGCTCAGAGCTAGACTCAGCTGAGAGTGAGACCCTGTCTCAAAACAAGACAAAATAGTTCAGCAGTAACCCGCAACCTTCCGACCAACTGCTAAGGTCTACCTCTGTACCTGGCTCAATCTCAGAACTAGGACTTCTCACGGGAATGTTTTCTGCATTCATATCCCCTGTGCTGCAACAACAGATTTACCTTCGCAAGTATACATGTGCAGCTAGCCATGGGCAAGTGCCGGTCATCCCAGCGCTCTGGGAGGCTGAGGCGAGAGGGTCACAAGTTCAAGCCCAACCTGAACTTGGCAATTTAGCAACTTAGCGAGACCTTGTCTCAATAAAAACAAAAATAAATTAAAAACCACAGAAGTGCACACAGTCAAACAAAATTTATGTCTCCATTTTCCCAGAAGTGGAGATGGAATCATTCAGTAGATGGAGAGCATCAGGGAGACTTCCCTGACCGAGCTATGTCACATCCCACACGCAGACTTACATACTGAGTCCTTACCTCATAACGCGATGGTGTTTGGGAAGTGATTAGGGTTAGGTGAGATCATGAAGATGGCTTCGTAAGAAGAGAAATGTTAACACTGTGCTTGCCATATGAGGGCATTGCGGGAAGGCTGCTGACTGCAGTCCCCAGTGAAAGCCCTCACCAGGACCAGAACCAGCCAGCACTTGGGTCTTGGACTTCTAGACCCCAGAACTGTGAGAAGTAAATATCTGTTGTTTAAGCCATGTAGTTCACAGATTTAGCAGACTATTCCAGGTCTATGAAGGAGAATTTGACCAAGGAACATTATCCAACTCTGCCAGCCTCAATGCCCCCAATAATACCACAGTCTTGCAACCTTCAGTTCCTACCACCAAAATATGACTACTTCTAATAGATTCCTCAGTGTCCCTTGATGAATCATTGGAGCTTTTTATCGCTACAAAAAGAGCACATTTTGAAAAAAAAAAAAAAATTAGGGAAACTAAAAATAGTCACCTACCCAGGCTGTGATCCCAGCGCTTGGGAGGCTGAGGCAGGAGGATCACCACAAGTCCGAGGCCAGCCTGAGCTACATAGTGAGTTCGGGGCCAGCCTGAACTACAAAGTGAGACCCTGCCTCAAATAAATAAATAAAAAAATAAACTCTCCTATCCTCCTCCCAAATAAACCTAAGTATTTTCATTTTGCTAATTCTCTTCCAGTACTTGTTCACAGATGTGGTCTTATTCTGCACGTGGTAACCAGAGATTTATTTGGCATTCTACTTTTGCACTCTGCAGAATGTCAGAAGCATTCTTTACACTGCTGATATATTAATAGCTGTGTAATCATCCTCAAATTTGTTGCACCATAATTTGCCCAGCAAATAAATAAGTTTATTTCCAACTTTTTGTCCCTGTAGTGAATGCCCCCATCAACATCTTTGTGCACATAGTTTGTTTGGTTTTTGTGTGTGTCGAGTGTTGGTTTAAAAGCAGTCTGGATACCGGTCTCGGCCGAGACTGGCAACTCACATTGTTCTGCTTCTCCTGAATCTTCAGGCTGCTGGCTATGGAAAAGCTGCTGCTCTTCTAATGTCAGACTCTCAGCTGGCCACAGATGACCTGAAAGCAGCAAGTTGGCCACACATGACCTGGATGATGTCTTTGTTTTCTTTTGCTGTGACTGAACACCACAGACTGGGAAATTTATGAAAACTAAAGATTTCTCTTAGCTCATGGCTCTGAGCTGGGAAGTCTAAGCATGGTATTGCCATCTGCTCAGCATCCTGAGGGCCTTCTTGGTGATGGTGACTCTGTACGGAGTACCAGGGTGACACGGGATTCCCCGTGACAAGACAGAACAAGCGCACTCAGTAGGGTGTCCACCCTTCTTATAAAAGCTACTAATGCAACAGGGGTGGGGGCTCATTGTTGTGACTTTATATACTCTTAACCATCTCCCAAAGGCTCCCCCTCCAAATACTATTAATAAATGGCTTTATTTTTAAGTTCCAACGTGAGTTTGGGGAGGAAAAAACTCCAGACCAGGTGACAGATCTGATGAGAGAGGCCCAGACCCCACTTCTACTTCTGGAGGAAAGCAGCCACCGATCAGTGGGCAGGAAGTGCGAGTAGGGGACCTTTGTGGGCTTCCCCTGCATCACACGGAGGCTGCCCTTCTTTGCCCCATGCCCTTTGGCTTTGGCCCTGGTGAGGCTATTCTTCTGGCATCACATACACTCTTGGCAAGGATGACGGTCAAGGTGGCCCATGTTTCAGGAGCCAAGTGTGGGCCTTGACTCCAGGCGGACCACCAGTCAGATGCTCTTCCTGGAAGACTGCAGACGTGGCTGAGCAGGAACTCCCTAAAGCAGCTGCCAGACCAGAGTTGCCTGGGTGCTGCTCTTTCTGAGCTGTCCCAGTACCTTCCCTCAACCGGACAAGCAGCTCTGCAGCCTTCCCAAAGAATCTTGTTCTGTGTCCCCCCTGCTGTGCCCAGAAGGCTTTCCCAAATATAGGGCCCCTGGGGAGAGGGCCTCGAGGCCCGGGATGGCCATGCCAGCTCGGCCTGAGCACCAGCAGCCAGGCATCGTCTGCTCTCTCTCAGTTCTTAGATCACTGTGATCAAACATCCTCACAAAGGACAAAGTGATGCCTTCGATTCTGCTAAAAGGTGGACACCCTGGCAGCTCCTGCCTACTCGGCATTCCAAGGGGAAAATCAAGCTCAGGACCTGCTTGAATTCCTGGACAGACCTCAGCTCAAGTGTCTGGCTTTCTGGACTAGTCAGATGCAAAAAAATTCAGGAGTTATCTGAACCCTGAGCCTGGCCAACCTGAGGTAGTGAAATGAGTGGATGAGTGTCCTACGGCCAGCAAAGATTGGGCTTGTGTGCCGGAGCCACCATTCACACCTCCTCAGCTGGGCAAAGTGGGCCTGAAAATCCCTATGAGAGAAGGGCTTCAGGACAATTAAATTCTTATCTCCACCAGATGTGCTGGTGCACACCTGTAATCCCAGCTACTTAAGGCTGAGGCAGGAGGATTTTAACTCCAAAGCCAGTCCAAGCAATTTAGGTACAGTGTGTCTCAAAGTAGAAAAGGGCTGGGGATGTAGCTGTACACTGCCCATGGATTCAATCTCCAGTAGTGCAAAAAAATTAAATTAAATTAAAATTCTGTTCTCTGGAACATGACGAGGTTTGTCACCCCATCTGACCACAAGCCCACAGCCTCCAGTGTGGTCTTGAGCCCTGGGCTTGGGGGGACTGCCAGCTTGGCAGGCCTCTGCCCTCACACCCCCACTGCTTCCTTAGAGTGAACCCACCAGGAAAGGGAGGGAGGGCCGCTTCCTGTAGCAGGACGGTTGGAGGTAAGTGGAGCCTGGGCCGCTTCCATTTTCTTAGGTTCCTGGCATACGAAGAATGAGGAAAGTTACAGTAACTGTATAATTTCAGTGTCTGCATAGAAAAGGTGGAATATAGTACATCTGTGTTATGGACAAGATAATTGCAGAACTCCTGGTAATTTTGAGTGGTGTAGTTGTAGGGCAGGATGCAAGTCTAGAGTCTCAAGATAGATACCTACTCCTGAAAAGTTTTTGGAGCTACATCTGTACCCTGAAAGTCTGAGCTTTTACAAAAAGATGTAAGGAAATGCAATGCAAAAAGTTTATTGGATTCCAGTCCACGAAAACAATGGGGGACATTTTTAGATGTTTGGGAACTTTTGCATAAGAGTGCAATATGAATGGGATACGAGGTTATTTTAGAGAATAATCATTCATTACTTTGGTCATGATACTGTAAGAGCATAGCCAAAAGGACCATTGCTGTGGTTTGGTTATTGTGTTAGTCAGCTTTCTGTTAGTGTAAAAACACCTGACATGATCAGTTCGTAAAGAAAAGATGTTTGTTTTGGCTTAGTGTCGTGGAGGATTCAGTCCATGACGAGTTATTCCTGTTTTTGGATCCCTTGGTAAGACAGGACATCATAGTGGCGGCATGTGGCAAAATTGCTTACCTGGTGGCTGGAATGCAAACGAGGAGGAAGGAGGAGGAGCTGATGTTCCGGTATCCCCTCGTAGGGATCCCCAACAACCTCTCCCTAGGACTTCCCTCCCTTGAGTTCTGTCACCTCCCTACAAGCACCAGAGTCTGAAGACCAAACCTGTAACACATGGCCTTTGGGGACACTTACCCACCCCGTGGCAGGTGTGGCCTCAGCGCATCCCCCAGTGGGAATCCACAGCTGTGTCCCCAGTGTGCCAGTCCTGAGGTGGTGGGGACCCGAGAGGTAGGGCCCAAAGGAAGAGGACTAGGTCACCAGGCCCCCGTAGGATGGGGTAATGGTGGCCTCTGAGCAGATTGGGTCTCAAAGGAGTGAATTCCCAGCGAAGGGTTAGTTAGAACACGGTGAACTGGGCCAATGGTACTTACTTCCTTGCTCACACAGGTGGCCATTTCTCTTTCCACTTCCATCATGGTGTGACACAGCCAAAGCACCCTTGCTGGTACAGTAGCACAATGCTCTTGGACCCCCAGAACTGTGAGCTCTTTTCTTTACAAAATACCCAGCCCTGGGTATTTTGTTATAGCAACAAAAAATCAAGTAAGACATCACAAAATAGTTTAAACTTTATTTTCTTGACAGCATAAGGGATTGAACCCAAAGCCACATCCCCACTTCTTTTTTATTTTTTGTTTGGAGACAGGTCTTACTAAGTCACAAAGTTGCCCAGGCTGGGCTCAAACTTGGAATCCTCCTGCATCCGCCTCACAGAGGGATAAGATTACACCTCCACACCCACTTAGCAAAAACAGCCATCTCTTCAGGACAGCCTGCTCCATCCTCACCCAGGCCAGTCCTGGTCACAAGGAAATGGGGCACTGATAAGAGCTACAGCTTCTGGGCATCCATCGTCTTATCTGTACCTGGGTGAATGACAGGGAGAGGGGCAGACAGACAGACAAGAGGCTGTCACCTCTACCTCAGAGAGGGAAAGGGACCCCAAACGGACAGAAAGCAGAAGACACACAGTCGGCATGATGATGGGAGCCAGGGGCATTGCAACAAACCACTGAAAAATAAAAAGACAGGAAGGAAAGAGAATGCAGATCACAAGAACACTCGGATTCCTAATGAGTGTCGGTTTCTGTGGTATAATTATTACCCCAGCACCACGGCCAGTTTCAAGGTACCAATGGGTATCAAAAATTGCCGAATATTTAACAGTCATCTCTGGTACATCACTGATTTGAAGCCAGTTCTGGGGGTCTGTACCTCAAGCCTCTACTCGTTTTTTCTGTTACCATTTCCTACATTCTGATCCTTTGCACACCAATTTCAGAATCACCAGTTTTGGGTTCCACATGACTATTGCTCCTTGTATATTTTTCTTTAAGACACTTCCTGTGAGGAGACAGGTGCCATGACTTTCACTGAAAGCTTACTTTCTGCAGAGTAAAAAGTGATGTTAAAACAATCATGTAATCATTAAAATAACTTTCTTTGCACTTCCTGAAGTACTTTCCTTGTGCTGGGCCCGGTGACCCAGAGAGTGCTCTGCGGCCCTGTGGCCTGTTTCTCTGCTTGCGTCTTGTGAAGCCGTTACGAAAAACAGGAGTACAGCTTCTCACACTCCAGGAGCAGACAGCAACGTGAGCCAAGTGTGCAGATGCCTGGCCAATACCAGAGCATTTTTTTACCTGTAATGATCACCACTACAGCCCTGAGGACTGAAGTATCCACAGGGACACATCTCCAGGGAAGCCTTCCCAGCGCACCTGGACTGGGTTTCCGCAGAGATTCTCCTGTGCCACAGCTTGGGGATGCAGTGTGCTTGGGTCAGCAGCAACCACAGAAAAGCTAATGTGGACCAAGACCCGTGGAGGACAGAGATCTTCAGGGAGGGACAGAAGAGGCTGAGGTGGAGGTGGAGGGAGGGCAGCTGGAGTGTCCCAGAGCTGGCACATTTCTCCCTCGATGAGCCACTGTGCTCAGAGTATATGCTTGCAGGATCACGGACAAAGACACCAAAAGATGCTATCGTGGCCATTCTCTGTTGCTATAACACATTGCCCAAGGCTGGGTGACTGACAAAGAATAGAAGTTTATTTAGCCCGTGGTATTAGAGGCTGGGAGCCCATGAGCCTGGTGCCCCCATGTGGGAAGAGCCTTCTTGCCGCACCATAATGTGGGGGAGGTGGTCATGTGGCAAGAGAGCTTGCTGTCATTACAAAGCCACTCTCAGTCATCAGCCCCTCAGCCCATGACCCGGAGCCCTCCTGACCCAGTTATCTCCCAAGGAGTTGCCTACAAATACCATTCCCATATGACTCTGAGGATTAAGTTACCAACACATAAATTCCAGGGTTCAAACCATAGCAAACATACAGGCTTCACAACAGCTCTATTCATCATAGCCCTAAAAGAAAAATCAGTATATATGCCAATCAACAGAACAATGGATACATCAACTGTGGAGTACTGTATAGCAAAGAAAGGCTACTATCTGGGGAAAAAAAAGGAAAAGAAAAGAAGGAAGAACTCCATAGATGTAACACTAAGAAAAGTAACGAAACACCAAAGAGCATATATTTTCTGATTCTATTTGTATAAAGCAAATTAATCTTTGGCTATGGAATTCAGACACATGGAATCTTCCACAGGTGCTGGGAATGGTCTCCATTTTAATCTAGGTGACAGTTACAAAGGTGTTTTAACCATGGAAAAATTTGGAGAGTATTACATGCAAGATGTTTGTATCATTATAGATACGATTCAATATAAACATTAATAAAGTTAAGGAAAAGTTTTTTCAAAAAACAGTAATGAATGAAGATAATGAAAAACAACATCAGGTAATAACTCAACACTATTTAGTAATTAAAAAGTATGTGTGCTCTATACAACAATATATATCTCACCTGAATAAAAACCAAAAAAGACACATTAAATTCATTAGAATGGTTGCTTATAGTTCAGGGAATGAGAGCAAGCAATGGTGAGAAAAAGGAATAAGTCAATGATAAAATAGAGCAAATAAAAGAATTAAAAGAATCAGACCACAGTGATATATGTGCATCCATGTTTATAGGGGCGCAGTTTGTAACAGCTAAAACTTGGAAACAGCCCAGTTGCCCATCAGTTGGAGACTGGATAAAGAAGATGTAGTTTTTCTATAAAATGGAATACTACTTAGCCATAAAGAATGAGAAACTAAAGTCATTCATAGGAGAGTGGATGCATATTGAGGCCATACTCTTAAGTGAAATAAATAGGACACACAGGTGTAAATACTGAATGGTTTCTCTGGTGTGAAAAACTAAAAGTGTAAATAAGATCCAAATTGTATAACTGTCAATGTGAAATAGGAAGAAAAGGGCTAACGGTGTAGGGGAAGGGGAAAGGGGAGGGGAAAGGAAAAAAGGGAAAAGAAAAAATATGAGAAGAGGAAAAAATGGAAACAAAGCCTTTGTAAATAGGGGAGGGGGCAGGGGTGAAGGGAGGGCAGGGGGAAGGAGAAACAGAGAACCAAGATCTGTCATGTAAAGGTACAACATCCCAATGGTGAATGCGACTGTACTGTATACTTAAAAAGCACCAAGAAACTCAATAAAAAAGAAAAAAATAATAAGAGCAAGGCCCTGCTCAGACCAGTGGGATTCAAATGCTGAGGAAACAAAAAGGAAGAGGACATTGGAGAGGCTGAGTCAGAACTCAGCACAAGTCCCCTAGGAGATGGGCCACACCCACCCCTGTGCTTTTATTCGCCTCATACTTTTAATTAGCTCAATCTTAAAAAAAAAAACTTAAGTGTTTTGGAAGTGGCTCCATTCAAAGAAGTTTTACAAATGGCCAGGGAGCACAGGAAAAGATGGTTAACATCAATAATTTCTAGGGAATGAGAATCAAAACCACAAGAAGACACCACTTGCATCCATTAGGGTGATTATAGTAAAACGAAGGAGGTAAATAGGTGTGGGCAGGATGGAGAGAAACCAGACTCCTGCATGCGGTTGGTGGATTGCAGAGTGACGCCACCCCTGTGGAAACAGTGGAGTCACACAGAACTGCCATTTTACCTGGCACCCCACTTCTGAGTACACTCACAGAAGAAGGGAAAGCAGGGTCCTGAAGAGATACTTGTGTATCTCACGCTTCTGGCAACATCAATGGCAACAGCCAAAAGGTAAAAGCAACCCAAGCACCCATCAATAGCTAAGTGGAAGCAGAATGATCTTATAATATATAATATAAAGTAGTCAGCCTTTAAAAAGAAAGAAATCCTGACACCTGCCTCAAATGGATGAGCCTGGAGGGTATCGTGCTAGGTAAAATTGCCCTTCCCGGAAGAACAAATAACCGCATGATTGCACTACATGAGCCACGTAGAGTCGTTGAATGCATAGAAACAAAGTAGAATGGTGACTGTGAGAGGCTGAGAGTAAGGAGAATGTGGAGATGTTTAATGGATACAAAGTTTCAGTCGTGCAAGAGGAAGATTGTGTAGATGACTCATTGTGATGGTTGGTCAGGGGTGAGAACACACTTCATGCCACTGAACTATGTACTTTAAAATGACAATGCTAAATTTTACGTGTATTTCGCCAATTTGTTAAATAAGGTGGCTTTATATCACTATTATAAATGAAAATCCTCTTGCCCTAGAGGAAGAGTTGCCAGGGAACTGAAGACAGTCACACTCACCCCAGCAGGGTGATCTTAACATTGACCTAGGTGCTGCAGCCTGCTAAGGCTGCGCACCAAGACTGAGTCTCGTTTTTTTTTAAAGTGAAGATCAGCAAATGTCAGGGAAGTGTTACGGTGCCAGTGCTGTGGGGCCAACTTTCTCTTTGACAAATTCCGAGGGGCTGAAAGAGATTTAAAGGTAGCTAGCTGTGTTCTCCCCACCAGGTTTAATGGGGTGGTGTGTGGGGGCCTCTATAATTCTCTCCCACACTAGGGGCATGTGTACCCGTAATTTGAATGACTCGTGAGAAGGGAGTAGGGGCCATCAGCATCTTGGGCAGGGACAGGCCAGGGCGTGCTGAGTGAGAGAGCCGGGGCAAGGAGGCCTCTGCTGGAGAAACTCGTGCAGGTCCTACAAAGTGGTCCAGGACTGTGTGGGCAGGGAGTTCCAGAGTCTTGGGTGCCTCAACGTGTGCACCTTGGTCTTAAGGACTCCTTGTGAGTGTGGTCCCAGCTGGAGGAGGAAAGTGCAGGGGCAGACCTAGTTCTGGCCCAGGATCTGTACTTCCTTAAAGTAAAAGCCAGCCCCGACCCACCAGTGCACGGTGTAGAAGACACCATGACAGCGTGGGTAAAGTGTAGGAACTAAGGGGAAATGTGGAAGACGTAGCTAAGGAGGTACCAGCGGATGCCTGGTGTTCCGGCAGGCAGAATGCCGCGGTTTTCTTTTGGGAAGCTAGTTCTCTGCAGGTTTCTTGGTACATTTACTTTGGAAAGGCTGACTCTGACCCATTCCTAGTACAGCAGGCAGAAGACTCAGCCCTGCCTGGTCAGAAGATGCCACCCTCCCTACCCACGGTGACCCCATAAATTCCTGACTTTGCTACATCTTAAGTTAGACTTAGCCATCCCGGGTTTATGCCTGGGAGGGATACACCGTTTTAAATGGCATAATGTGTTTGGGAGGTGGGTCCCACTTCATATCCATGGGCGCCCCACCTGCAGATTGAACCAACCATAGGTCCACACTGTTCGCAGGGTGGGGGAAATGGGTTGCACCTGTGATGAACGCGTACAGACCTCGCCCTCATGATTCCCTAAAAGGTGAAGTGTAATAACCATGAACGGAGGGTGTGCATGGAATCTATAGGTGGTTTAAAGAATACATGAGAACGTGCTTAATTATACTCATATACTGCACCACTTTATTTAAAATACTGGCGGCACACATGGATTTTGATATAGGGGAGCAGGACAGGTCGAGGATCCCACCTCAAACGCTTAAGGGCGAGTTTGGAATCTTTCTATCCAGGGATCCTGTAAGTTTTCACCTCCTTGCAGACTCCTGCCGACCACTCAGGTGCCCCTGCAGTCCCAGGTCTACCAGGGCCCAACAAATAGGGGCGCCCACCCCCTGTGAAAGTCACTCGCGAGTTCCAGCTGACCAGCAGAAACCCTGCATCTCACATTTAATTAAAGCCTGACTTTAAAATCCTAGTTTCTTTCGTATCCCGGCGTCAAACATTTCCGCGAGTCCTTGGGAAGCTTCCTGTCTCCCGGCCTGGGAAGACAGAAGCAGCGGCGACACACAGGTGAGCTGACCTCCCCCGCCCTCGTGCGGACCAGCGGGAGCGCACAGATCCTCGTGCGCATGCGCGGGGTCGGGGCCACGCCTCGGGCCTGCGCGTTGCCGCTTGCCCGAC